GGCGGGGGCGGCCGCCGCTATCAATCTGCTGGGTCTGTCGGACGGCTTTGACGCCGTCTACGGCTCCAGCGCTGGGGCTCTGATCGCCGCTTTTTTCGTCTCGGGGCAATTAAACGGGACCATCATTTATTCGGACGTCCTCCCTGCCGCAGGCAAGAGATTCCTCGACCGGGCGCAACTTATTCCGGCCATGGGTTTGCTGCCAGGGGTAGAGGCGAAACCGGTCCTGAACTTGCAATTCCTGGAGGACGTGATCCGTAACACGGTGCGCTTGGATTGGGCTTCCTTTTGGGCAAAAAACGCGGTGCAACCGCTCAATGTGGTGGCCAGCAGCCTAGACGGGATGGAAAGCTTGGCTTTGAGGAGTGACAAGGGCGACTTCGATTCCTTCGAGAGTCTTATCCAGTGCCTGAAGAGCAGCATGTGCGTTCCCGGGGTGGCGGGACCGCCTGTGTTTCTGAACGTGACGTGCCGGCAGACGGGGGAGAGAAAAGAACGGGCCTTCGCGGATGCCTTGGTCTTTGAACCCATTCCCCTAAAAAGTGCAGTGGAGGACGGGTGCACGCACATCGTCACTTTGCGCACGCGCCCTGACGGCAGTGAGGTCTTGGGGCACAAAGTGACGGGGATTTACGAGCGATTCATTGCCCGCAGATTCTTGGCGGATCTCCACAAATTTCGCCCGGCTGCCATGCACATGACCAAGTTCGATCATTTGAGGCAGTACGCCGCGGACTTGCTCCTTTTGAACGAAGGTTCCCACGCCAAAGCGACAGGCGTGCATGTGCCGGACGGGAAAGGCGGGGGCCGGGCCGTCCACTTGTTGCCCGTGGCCCCGCCCATGGGCACCACCGAGGTGGACACCCTCGATTCTTCACGAGAAGCCTTGCGGAAGGGGTTGAAGGACGGATTTGCGGCCGCGTGGAACCTGATGGCGTCGCCCGAGCTGGCAGAAGTGTACCCTGGGGAGGTGGTCGCGAGTGAGCTGTTTGATTGTGAGGACGTGGAGACTTTTGACCTGACCTTTAAAAGATTCAGTACGGTCTTCCAAGGAGGCATTGGGCAGGCGGAGGAAAATGGATTGAGGGCAACAAAACAGGAGCAACTGCTCTTTCCTCGGCAGGGACCACATCAACCGCGACTAGCATAGGCTACATGGTACTCAGTGTGTACATTATGATTTTGATGCCGCCACCTTCAGAAAACGAGGTGACAGACCGGGGGAATAGGGGGCACACGCATACTCTAGAAATTTTGTTTTTTTATAAATGGGACAAAAAATAAAGCCCTTCCACCATGGAGAAGATATATGTAACTGACTGGACGGGGGGACACAAGGAGAAACTAGGATCATTAATAGCGCACTGGCAGATAGACTGAATTGATAGGGGGAGCCACTGACGCGATATAACGCCATGATGTCTCGAAGATGCAGCGCTCCGTTTCAATCTGACCACGGGGCATGGCAAAAAGCAATAAATAAAAATAATGCGCGAGCATGGACTACGTGCGGGCATGACACAGCGCGTGGCACTTGGGCGGTGTGCATGCTGGCCTGTGGCTTCAAGTACTCTACTGCCGGTGTGACCTGGAAAGAGATAAGTATCTCGAGTGTACGAAATTCTTTGAAAAAAGAGTGGGGCCAACGTTTTAGAACTAGATGACGCGCATTCGAATCATTAGAGAGTCCCGTGTTAAGGGGCGACAAAGAACTTAATTTATAGAGCTGTAAAAGAGACGTTCGGCTTCCTCTGTAGGCGTGATGTGCGACAGCTCTCGAATATGAGGGCAACACCATCAAAATCTCCATCATCCTCGGTTGGCCCCCCTCCTTCGCCTGAGCCGCTTTACGTACACTTTACCCCGTTCTTCATCCAAGCCATCACTTTCTACAAAAAG